TAATTTTTTTCTGAGATGGAATCTTGCTCTGTCACCCAGGCTGGAGTGCAGTGGCCTGAAGTCAGCTCACTGCAACCTCTGCCTCCCAGGTTCAGGTGATTCTCGTGTCCCAGCCTCTTGAGTAGCTGAGACTACAGGTGTGCACCATCACGCCTGGTTTTTCGTAGTTTTAGTAGATAAGGGTTTTCACCATGTTGGTCAGGCTGGTCTCAAACTCCTGACCTCAAGTAATCTGCCTGCCTCAGCCTCCCAAAGTGCTGGGACTACAGGTGTGAGCCACCGCACCTGGCCGCCTGTAGCTTTTAAGACCCTCTTTAAGTACACAGAGTGCTGCCACGTTATCCAGAAGGAAACTCACACACATGTAAAGAATCCAAATTCTCCCATCCAGGTGTATCCTGTATTGACTTTCTCTTCCCCAAGACTTTATTGCAGTCTAATTTATGTAGAGGGAAACACACACATTTCAGCGTACAGTCTGATGACTTTGCACGTTTGTGCACACTATGTGACTACCACCAGATGAGACTGCTCATCACCCAGCCAGCCTGCTGGTCCTCATATGCAGCCAAGACCCTTTGTGCCCGTCACACCCCAGCACAGCCACTGTCAACAGAGAACAGAGGTTCCCTGCTCTTGAACTTCAAATAAGTGGATTCACGCAGTCTGTGTTCTTTTTCATCTGTCTGGCCTCTTTCATTCAGCGTAATGTTTTAGAGATATATTGTTTGTTTTTTTTTTTTGAGATGGAGTCTCACTTTGTCACCCAGGCTGGAGTGCAGTGGTGCAATCTCAGCTCACTGCAACCTCTGCCTCCGGGGTTCAAGCGATTCTCCTGACTCAGCCTCCCCAGTAACTGGGATTACAGGCACCCACCACCATGCCCGGCTAATTTTTGTATTTTTGGTAGAGATGGGGTTTCACCATGTTGGCCAGGCTGGTCTCGAACTCCTGACCTCAAGTGAACTGCCCGCCTGGGCCTCCCAAAGTGCTGGGATGACAGGCGTGAGCTGCCACACTCGGCCCCAACCCTAATCTTTTATTATGTAGATAGATTCTCTGTTCAGTCAGTGTCATGTTGTCCATTTCTTTATTGTACATGTGATAACAAGAAAAAAAGGAAAAATGGAGTCTCCATGTTGGATATGCCTGGCCCCAAGGTAGCTCTTTTCCATTGGCAGAACTGTTGGCATTCACCCATGTAAGTTTTTAGCACGTTTATTTATGTTTGCAGCTTGATTTTTCAGGCTGTACTTTGTTAGAAAAAATAATTTTTGGGGCTACTTTTTGTTAGAAGGGAAGACTTATCAAGGACTCTTTTACCATCACTATCTGTCTAAATAATTTCTGTCTACTGTATCATTTATTAAATTCAGGTTAGAACATTTTTAAAAAAATTATTGTGTCTGGGTCAGGCGTGGTGGCTCACACCTGTAATCCCAGCACTTTGGGAGTCTGAGGCAGGTGGATCAACTGAGGTCAGGAGTTCAAGACCAGCCTGGCCAACTTGGTGAAAACCTGTCTGTACTAAAAATACAAACATTAGCCGGGCATGGTGGCAGACACCTGCAATCCCAGCTACTCAGGAGGCTGACGCAGGAGAACTGCTTGAACCTGTGGTGGGGGTGGGGGGTGGCAGAGGTTGCAGTGAACTGAGATCATACCACTTCACTCCAGCTTGGGCAACAGAGTGACACTCTGTCTCAAAAAAAAATTGTGTCTGTTGTAAATTTTTTTTGTCTTGTATGTGCTACAGATGACGATCAGGAACCAGCTTGATGGCTGTGGAGTAAGTTGTATTTCTTTTCAAGGTGAGAGGAAGGAAGGACAATGATCAAAGCCCAAAAGTTTCCTTCTTCTTGGCCTGGCTCCTGTGGCATTTACATAACTAGCTTTCTCTCTGGGGTAATCTCACTAAACTACTTTCCAAATTGCTTTGCAGAGCAGCAAACATAAATATTAACTTCAAGGTTGGAAAGCGCTGCTTTTTAATAAAAAGAGAGAATTTAATGAGATGCAGAAATATGAACTTAGCTCCTCCATCAATGCCACCTTTGCTTCTTGATATGCTGCCCACATATGCCCCGTGCCAGGGCCGTGCATACATTTTAAATGTGGAAAATAATTATGAAAATCAGATTACATACAGCTGCCCCTGTTAAAGAAAACCATTTGGTTTGCTTTTGAACTGTGGCTTCCAAAGAGGTCAGTTCCATATACTCTTAATTAAGGACAAGGAGCAAACATTTACTGAGCTCGTGCTGTACGTGCTCTGTGCCCCTGGCTGGGCCCCACACTGTGTGGTCTCGGTCAACCTGCATTACCCACACACTTGCCATGGAGAACCTGGGCCTGCAGAAGGAGGCACTGGAGTCCAATGTATTTGAACAAACAGAAATGCTGTTTCTCTGCGCTTGGTTTCCGAACACACAGCCTTTGAACAATACAGGTTGGAATTGTGCAGGTCCACTTACATGTGAATCTTTTTCTTTTCTTTTTAAAATAGAGATGAGGGTCTTGCTATGTTGCCCAGTTTGGTCTTGAACTTACGGCCTGAAGCTATCCACCCACATTGGCCTCCCAGAGTGCTGGGAGAATCTTTTTCAATAGAAGTTACTCCAAGCCGGGTGTGGTGGCTCACACCTGTAATCCCAGCATGTTCGGAGGCTGAGGTGGACAGATCATATGAGGTCAGAAGTTCGAGATCAGCCTGGCCAACATGACAAAGCCCCGTCCCTACTGAAAATACAAAAAAAAAAAAAAATTGCCAGGCATGGTGGTGCACACCTGTAATCCCAGCTACTCAGGAGGCTAAGGCAGGAGGATTGCTTGAGCCCGGGAGGTGGAGGTTGCAGCCAGCCAAAATCACACCATTGCACTCCAGCCTGGGTGACAGAGTGAGGCTCCATCTCAAAAAAAAAGTTACACCTAGCATGTCTGCCTCTCCTGCCTCCCCTTCCACCTCCCCTATCTCTTCCACCTCTGCTGCCCTGAGACAGCAAGACCAACCCCTCCTGTTCCTCCTGCCTCAGCCTCCCAAGTAGCTGAGATTACAGACGTGCACCACCATGCCTGGCTCATTTTTGTATTTTTAGTAGTGATGGGGGTTTCACCATGTTGGCCAGGTTGGTCTCAAGCTCCTGATCTCAAGCAATCCACCCACCTTGTCCTCCCAAAGTGTTGGGATTACAGGCGTGAGCCCTGCACCCGGCCACTCTTGGGTTTTTAACGGAGCCTTCATTGGCTAAGCACAATTGAAGCCAGACAACCGTGTTGAAGTGTGACTGGACAAAAACAGAATGACCCAACGCCATCAGTCGGAGTGGGGAAGCCAGCACGGCCTGTCTGTACAGCATTCCTTCCTCCTGGCAGAAGGCAGGACTCCTTCTGAAATGGGGACCTCGTGACCCACAGTCAGACAAGGCAGGTCTGAGAATTTCTCTGTGGCCAGGTCCAAGACAGAAAGGTGGGGGAAGTTTAGAATATATTTTCATTTTCTATGGCCTGCCTTGGGGAGAAAAAGGAGCAGGTGAAAGGGGGGAAATAGGAAGGTCAGAAAGAGAGAGAGAGATGCTACATCCGAGGCCTACTTCCGAGGCCCCGACACTGTAACACGGGACTGCCTTTCCCCTTTATTGCTCTGAAGCTGTTTCCACACTGCACAGGAACCAAGGAAAAATGGCTAAATAACAAAAGATATGCTTATTGTTTCCTCACTGAGGAAGTAACGAGGTGATGGGAATTATGAGCCAGGTAAAGGAAAACCAATATATAAATATCATCATCTCACAAGGGTCTTCGCAGATGACCAAGTGAAGATGAAGTCACCAGGGTGGGCTCTAATTCAGCATGACTGTGTCCTTGTAAAGTCTAGAGACACACACACACACACACACACACACACACACACACACAGCCTAGTAGAGACAGAGGAACGCTGAAGATTGCTGGCAAACCCCAGTAGCCCAGAGAGAGGCAGGGAATGGATTTGCCCTTTAGCTTCCAAACAGAAATGAACCTGGCCTATACCTTGATTTGGATGCAATCCTAATCCCCAGTGCACGGGGGTATTACAAGGACACAGCCATCTTGGATTAGAGCCCACTCTGGTGACTTCATCTGAACCTGATCATCTGTGAAGACCCTGGTAGACATGATATTTGTAAATTGGTTTTCCTCCTCCACCATGCCTGGCTCATAATTCCCAGCACCCTCGTTATTTCTCTCCAAACTGTGAGAAGATGTTTCTGTTTTCTGACCCCTCTAGCTTGTGGAACTGTCTGCTGGCAGCCCCAGGTCACCCCAGTGTCCTCTCTCTGTCCCTTCTGCCTGGTGTGTCTTCTCTTCCTTTACTGAAAGGAAAAGGGTAATTTGATCCTTGTCCCAGGTCAAATGTCCCTTCCCTGCAAGCATCCTCTGCCCGCAGCGCCTCTGCGTCCCCGTCCCTGTCCCCTCCCCCCATGCTGGCCACACTGCATGGCCACTGTGTCCTGTGCCCACTCTCCTGGACCAAAACTCTTGAAAGACAAAGCTCTGTGTCCCTGGGCTGCTCGCCTCTGGGTGGGGACCGGGTCTGGCATCAACTCGGCCCACAGAAGCATTTACTCCATTGCGGGGAAGGGGGGCCAGCCAGCACAAAGGGGGACAGAAAAATGGTCTCAACCCATACACCCAAAGCTGAACCAGATTCTCTGGTTCACACTGCGTCCTCTGCTGGCCCGTCTCTGCTGAGTGACCCACAAGGGTCCCAGCAGGACACCCACCCTTCACTCTTCCTACTTTTTTTTTTTTTGAGACAGAGTCTTGCTCTGTCGCCCACGTTGGAGTGCAGTGGCTCGACCTCTGCTCACTGCAACCTCTGCCTCTCAACATGGTTTCACCATGTTGGCCTGGCTGGTCTCAAAGTCCTGACCTTGTGATCCATCCACCTCAGCCTCCCAAAGTGCTGGGATTACAGGCATGAGCCACCATACCCGATCTCTCCACTGATATTTACTGTATTAGACATAAAAAAACAAAATTTAAAGTTGTATTTATTTAGAAGGAATAGTACCTCCATTATATATTAACAAATTTTGTGAGTTTTTTTTTTTATGAGACAGGGTCTTGCCCTGTTGCCCAGGTTGGAGTGCAATGGCGTGATCTTAGTTCACTGCAAACCTTGACCTCCTGGGCTCAAACGATCCTTCTGCTTCAGCCTCATGAGGAGCTGAGACTGCAGGTGTGCACCACCACGCCCGGCTATCTTTTTCTTATTTGCTGAGATAGGTCTCGCTATGTTGCTGAGGCTGGTCTCAAACTCCTGTACTCAAGCAGTGATCCTCTGCCTCAGCCTCCCAGAGTGCTGGGCTTACAGGCGTGAGCCACCGTGCCTGGCCCATAGTAATTTCTTTTTTTTTTTGAGATGGAATTTTGGTTTTATTGTCCAGGCTGGAGTGCAATGGCGAGATCTTGGCTCACCGCAACCTCCGCCTCCCAGGTTCAAGTGATTCTCCTGCCTCAGCCTCCCGAGTAGCTGGGATTACAGGTGTGTGCCACCATGTCCAGCTAATTTTTGTATTTTTAGTAGAGACGGGTTTCTCCATGTTGGCCAGTCTGCTCTCAAACTCTCGATCTCAGGTGAACCACCTGCCTCGGCCTCCCAAAGTGCTGGGATTACAGGCATGGGCCACCACCCCTGTCTCCAGTAATTTTTTACTGTGGCAAAATATAGATGACATACAATTTATCTCACACACACACACACATATATATATATTGCTAATTTTTGTATTTTTAATAGAGACGCGGTTTCACCATGTTAGCCAGGCTGGTCTTGAACTCCCGATCGCAAGCAATCCACCTACCTTGGTCTCCCAAAGTGCTGGCATCACAGGTGTGAGCCATTACGCCCTGCCTATTCCTGCTTCTTCAAGGCTGGGGCTTCTTCTGGCCATGAGCATGTCAGAAATCTGTTTGCTTCTCTCCTAAGTCACGGGTACCTCTGCCTGTGCCTTCTCTGTCTCCAGCACCTGCTGTGTTGCCATCAGAGGCAACGCATGTGACATCACAGCTCAAAGCCCTGCCTGGATATCTAGGCTGGGCACAGTAGCTCATGCCTGTAATCCCAGCACTTGGGGAAGCCAAGGCGGGTGGATCACCTGAGGTCAGGAGTTCGAGACCAGTGTGGCCAACATGGAGAAACTGCATCTCTACTGAAAATACAACAATGAAGCGGGCATCGTGTCCCGCAGGGAACCCTGTCTTGTCCCCCTCGGGATGAAGCCATTTCCTCTGCTTCCAGCACCTGCGAGGCCTGCCTCCCCTCCTCTCCCCACCCCTGGCACCCTACACTGTCCCCAGGGCCTGCTCTTCCGCTGACCTCATGGTACCTGCCCGCGAACCATGGTACCTCCCGGTCGCCTCATCCAGAAACAACTCCTCGAGCTTTTCCTGGAGGTCAGGACAATGACCTGCCCCAGCATTGCCCTCCATCCTCTCAGCTTCCCTTGGACAGGGACGGTTCCCAGGTCAGAAGGGCCCCCGCTGCCCCGGGCCTGGCTCGTGGCAGAAGCTCAGCCACAGACCAGCCGCGTTCCTGTGACTTGATACTCTGTGGCTTCCAGGACGTCCTGAGGCCGCACCCACGTGGCGCCGGGGCCTGTCGCCCTGTCCCCTGGATCCCACACCACTAGCGGGGCGGGGCAGGGATCAGGGCTCCAAGGGGGGGCGGATAAAGGCTGCGCCGCGCCCGGGGTGGCCCCGCTCCCCTTCTCTGCGCGTGAGCGGAGGCGCGGGACCCGGAGGGCTCTGCCGGGGACCAGCAGGCCTCGGGCATCCGGGCCAGGGGCGGGAGCGCGGGGCGGGGGGTGGGGGTGGCCGGCGGCGGGGCCGCGCCCTCGGCCACTCCCCGGGGCAACCGGGCGGCTCCACACGCGCTGAGCCTGCCGGCCCCCACGCGCGGCCCATGTCCTCCGCGCCGCGCTCGCCCACCCCGCGGCCCCGCAGGATGAAGAAGGACGAGTCGTTCCTGGGCAAGCTGGGCGGCACCCTGGCCAGGAAGCGGAGGGCGCGCGAGGGTGAGTGCGCGCCCGCGCCCGCCGACCCCCTGGGGACCTGCCCGGCCGCGCCCGCGCTCGCCCCATGGCGCCCCAGGAGGCCGCCCCCGCCGACCCCGCGCGGCCCCCGCGGCGGCGCGACCTTCGGGACAGGCCAGGCCTCTGCCCCGGGACCCGTAAGTCCCGGCCGGGACCGGGCGCTCGGGCCGCGCGGTGGCCTCCGGCGTCTGCCAAGCGCGCGTGCGGGCGCCTGCGCGTCCGGGACCTGGGGTCACTGCGTGGCCCGCGCCTGCTCCGGCCGCCGAGTGTTTCGCCCTTCCCTGGGGCAGTGGCATCGCCAGCCGCGCGGGGTGACGGTTCATTCCATGAGCAGCGACACTGTGTGCGGGGCACGCTGGGCCGGCACGGCCTGGAGGACTCGCTGCTGGGTTTTGCGCGGGCGCCCTGCAGGGTGGGGGTGCAGGGCGTGCAGGCCTGAGGCCTGCGAGCAAGGATTGCAGATATCCCGTTTCAGTTTTTTTCTAAATTTTTTACTGCGTGTGCTCAGGAAACACTACCAACCTGCTAGGTTTTAAAGATTGTTACAGTTGCAAGGGATAGTCTGGCGTCTTTAATTGTACCGCTTGCGCAGGGCCTCCTGGGAGATGTATTCTTGAATTTTCTGTTGGGTGGGGAGGTTCTGCCCCTGGGACCCTGCCCTATAATGAGATTTCGGGTTGGTGAGACGTGCGCGGAGCTTACAAAGAATGGAGGTGGGGACCTGCTGCGGAAGGCAGGTGGAGAGAGGCTGGCCTCAGGTGGGTCTCCGGGAAGGAGCCCTCCCATAGCGGGTTTCCCTGGCACTTCCCCTGGGAACTCTTTCTGTGCCTCCAGGGATTAGAGTCCCCAAGGATGCAGGTCCCCCATTCATTTCTTCCCTGGGACTGTTGTATTCTTAGGGATGTGTGTGCTCCGGGAACACGTGACAGATTTGCCTCTAGGCATGTGTGTGTCCCCCACGCACCGCCTCCCCAGGATTTGTGTACAGTGCACGGAATGCCTGTTTCCCCAGCCATTTTCTCCCAGGGATGCCCGTGCCCAAAGGGGATGCATGTCTTGCCACTCGTGATCCTGTTCCAAGAGGGCAGGGTCTTGTCCCCTTCGGTAGGTCTGGTGGCAGACAGGCCACTTTTCTCTCAAGCCTTACACTGGAGGACTCACTGTGGCTTATATTAGTCTGTCACCTCTCCTAAATGACACGGTCAGTGACTCATCCTTCTCTCTGTCATCCCCACTGTTCCTCCATGCAGTCATCAGCACCCTTACCAGAAATCATTTCGGTTCCTCTTTACGGCTTGAAACAATTATAGACGCAAGTGGCGCTCCCCTCCCAATTCAGCCCACAGCCTGCGGAGCGCCTGCCAGACGCCAGGTGCAGCTAATAGGAAGAAAGGGGTGGGGTGGTGAGGTGCTTGCTTTCGTGGAACCAGGAATGAATAAATGGACAACTGGCACTGTGATAACATGTGCCTGGGAGCACAGAGAACAGGGCGATCAGGCAGGGCCAGGGGAGGCCTCTGAGGAGGGGACACTTGAGTGGAGGCCAGAAGGAACCAGAGAAAAAAAGTCTTTCACAGAACGGCAAGGAACCGGAATGTCCTGGGCTATTACAGCTTTTTATAGGTGCCACTTATGCTCGCGGAATAGGAAGAATGCGCACCCAAAGTAGTGGACTAGGCCGAAATTCTGAAGGACAGTGCTTCTCCTCCTGGCCTGTGTGACCTGATGTGTGCCTAGAAAATCCAGGGCCGGCCTGCTTTAATTCAAATGCACCAGGAATTCCAGTAGCGGGAAGCCTCCTGTGCAGAATAGAATGGGCCTGGAGGCAGGAGGAGGAGCAGGACGAGGCACAGCTGATGCTGGTTTTGCTGGGGGTGAGCTGGCCGCCCTGCCTCGGCTCTCAGGGTTGGGGTGCCTGTCACCCTACGGGTCTGCCATACAAACAAACCCTCCTTGGATCCAGACACAGGAATTGAGGGACAGGCTGGATTGGGAAGGATTTAGTGGCTTCTGTGTGGACTCCGGGGAAGGAGAGGAACCAGGAAGACTGGATAATGAAGCTTGACTAATCGACAGTTGCCAGTATTTCTGCAGGCCCGTTTGCCTTGGCAATGTGCCCTTCTGGCCACTCCAGGGTGGGAGCAGCCCCTGGCCCTGACTTTGGGCCATCAGAGCAGTGCTCGGTGGCCTACAAGGGAGTGACAGGGAAAAAGGGACTCGGCAGGTTTTCACGGCCCTGCCCACTGCACCATTGGCTTCATTTCCTCCTTTGTTAGAAAGTTGAGGGTGGGTTCGGGAGAGCAGAGCCGAGCGGACGTGGCTCCCACGTGTTCCTGAATTGAGGACTCTAAGGGAGGAGGGGAAAGCTGGGAGAGGGGGCGGGATCGTCGGTGAGGTTCCTGATTCAGACAGGGGTGTGACAAGGCACAGAGGGACTTTAGTGGGGGATGGTTGGCATGAACGACCTGGCCTGCTCCAGAGGAGAGTGGGTAGGAAATGTGGGGCGCTGGGGTTTGGAGGAAGCCTGCAGGAAGTGTCAGAATGAGCTTCAGGACGGCGTGATTAAGGTTGATGTGCTACGGGTGGCGTGTCACGTGGTGGCCCGGGTCAGAAAAGGGAACTGTGACGAATTGTGGGCATTCGGAAAGTGGAAAGGGATGCCGGAACCCCCCAGGGGTCCCCACAGAAGCTCTGGGACTTGAAAGGACAGCGTGTTTCAAACCTGGGTTCAGCTTTACAGGGGCTTGGAAGACGCCCCAATAACACGCAGGGTCCCCCACTGTGACTGTGGGATGAGAGACCTGTAGGTCCAGTGGGCCAGGACAGGGGTCAGGGACAGCCCAACTGCTGCAGGAAGTCCTCAGAGGTGGATGGCCAGCCCTGGCCAGCAAGGCCCTGCATGGAGGGGTCCACACATTTGCCACGAGAGCCCGTTCTGCGCTGTGCCAGGCCCTGGACCTCAGCCACCACTGCCCAGTGGCCAGAATCAGGTTTCTCAGGGAGAGCCAAAACCACCAGGGCCAGAGCAGCCAGTCTGGAGGCTCCGCCACTCTTTTCTAAGGAACATATTAAGGAAGTTCCTATCCCCTGATTACCTTAAAAGTGTATATACCTGTGGGCCAGGTGCGGCGGCTCATGCCTGTCATCCTATCACTTTGGGAGGCCGAGGCGGGTGGATCACCTGAGGTCAAGAGTTCGAGGCCAGCTTGGCCAATGTGGTGAAATCCCATCTCTACTAAAAATACAAAAATTAGCCAGGCTAATTAGCTGGGTGCCTGTAATCTCAGCTACTTGGGAAGCTGAGGCAGGAGGATCGTTCAAAACCTGGGAGGTGGAGGTTACAATGAGCCAAGATCACACCACTGCACTCCAGCCTGGGCAACAGAGTGAGACTCCATATAAAAAAATTTCTAATATATATACACACATATACATATATACACATATATTTAAATATGTATACACACATATATATTTATATACATTTTTAAAGCAGTTTTAGGTTGACAGTGAAATCTAGCAAAGAATACAAAGTGTTCCCACCCGTCCCTTCTCCCTCCATCAGTGCTCCAGGCTATGTGCCGCAGTCGTGAGCCAACATGGAGACATCATTTCCCCAAGCCCCGAGTTTACATTAGGGGTCGCTTCTGCCGTTGGATGTTCTGTGGGTGTGGATGGATGTCTAGTGGCATGGATCCACCACTACAGTGGGCTCCGGAGCGGCGTCACGGCCCCCAGAATCCTCTCTGTGCTGCCTCCACTTCCCCAAAGCCCCGCAACCACGGATCCTTGTTTTTTCTCTTTTCGAGATGGAGTTTTGCTCTGTCACCCAGGGTGGAGGGCAGTAGCACGATCTCAGCTCACTACAACCTCCGCCTCCTGGGTTATGGCGATTCTCCTGCCTCAGCCTCCCGAGTAGCTGGGACTACAGGCGTGTGCCACCACGCCCGGGTAATTTTTTGTATTTTTAGTAGAGACAAGGTTTGACCATGTTAGTTAACCCTTTTTTCTTTTTACTATCTCCGTGTTTTTGCCTTTTCTAGAATCAAATATAGTTGCGATCCAGTGTACAGTAGCATTTTCAGATTGGCTCCCTCCTCTCAGTCACACGCATCGAAGGCTCCTCCATGTCTTTTCATGGCTTGGCAGCTCATTCCTTTTCAGCCCTGAATAATATTCCGTCGTCTGGATGGGCCACAGTTTGCTGATCCATCACCTCCTGCAGGGCGTCTTGGCTGCTTCCAAGTTTTGGTAGCTATGAATAGCTAAACTGCTGTGTACTTCTGTGTGCAGGCTTTTGTGAGGACATAAGGTTTTAATTCACATGAACTCGATTGCTGGAGCGTATGGTAAGAGTGTGTCTAGTTTTGTAAGAAACCACCAGACGCTCTTCCAAAGTGGCTGTGCCACTTCTATTCACAGGTGGTGAATGGGAGTTCCTGCCCCTCCGCATCCTAGCCAGCATTTGGTGGTGTCAGTGTTCTGGGTTTTGGAATTCCCATAGGTGTATCGTGGTGTCTCATTGCTGTTTCAATTTGCATTTCCCTGATGTATGAAGTGGAACATCTGTCCAGGTGCTTATTTGCCATCTGTGTATCTTCTTTGGTGAGGTGTCTCTTAAGGTCTTTGGCTCATTTGTATTTTATTTATTTTTATTTTATTTTTTGAGACGGGGTCTCACAGTTGCCCAGGCTGGAGTGCAGTGGCCCAATCCTCACTCACTGCAGCCTCCGCCTCCTGGGGCTCAAGTGATCCTCACATCTCAGCCTCTGGAGTAGTTGGGACTACAGGCACATACCACCAGGCCCAGCTAATTTTTGCGTTTTTTGTAGAGATGGGGTCTTGCTGTGTTGCCCAAGCTGGTCTCAAACTCCTGGGCTCAGGAAATCCACCTGCCTTGGCCTCCCAAAGTGGGGATTACATGCTTGAGCCACGGTGCCCAGCTTTGGGCTGTTTTTAAACCCAGTTGTTTGTTTCCTTAC